AGGCCGCATATAGCTTTGGCCTGACCGACCTGAGTCGAACGGATGCTGGCCTGCACTGGCCGGCTGGCCCACATACTTGACCGAAGCAACCCAGTGGTCCCCGCTCGGCTGAGCAACTGACAGGGCACATTGCAGAGAAGGGAAGAGGGGAGGCGGGGGGCCTTGGTTGCCTACCCTCTCGGGGTCGGGCCGGCTCGGTCCAGCAGCTTCACCGTACAACCCAACTGGCCCGTCTAGGTTTGTGCTCGGCCTGTCCGGCCCGCGTAGAATGCAACCTGGTTAAAGTAACTCATTGGTTCTAGAGTTGGCCTCCGTACACGGTACGGGCCGGCTGTGTCCAGTACTATGTAGTATTGTGCAACACTTCACTGAAAACCCAAACGTGGCCCAGACCGCACCATTGGTGTGGTCAGATGGGTGCCATTTTGACCACATCAGTTGGTGTGGTCTAGACCACGTTTGGCCACGTTTGGTGTGGCCTAGACCACGTTTGGCCACGTTTGGTGTGGTCTAAACCACATTTGGCCACGTTTGGTGTGGTCTAGACCACACGAAACGCACCAAACGTGGTGTAGACCGCACCAACTGGTGTGGTCAAAATGGCATCCATTTGACCACACCAGTTGGTGCGGTCTACACCACGTTTGGTTTTTCAGTGTTTGAGCATCCGAAAACTCTGCACAACGCGCTGGCCTTTGCGTCCAGCTTTTTCGGGAGCTTTATCATGCTGTTGGACCTAATTCTAGACAAATGGACAAAATTAAAGCTTCCTAGGAACGTTTATTCAAGCCGGTCGAAACCACCTTTGTTACTTTTTACAGTGCGTACTTTTGTGCCCCAGGGGACTGTACTATATTTTTACCCGTTTCATTTTTCCTTTTCAAAAAAATTTCATTTAAGCTTGAGAGTTTCAAGCGGTACTGATTTTCAAAGAATACGGTCTAAACTGTAAGGTGGTAGCGTACATTATAGACTGGCGGCTGATTCTTTGCAAAGCTGGAACTTAAAGTAAAAGCACTTTAAAAAAAGATTTTCGTGGCCATTAAAATTGCTTTAATCAGCTGTGCAGTTTGATTCTAAAAATTAAATTTAGAACTGGGGTTAATTTAATTGAACTCGTTGGAGGGACAATTAGTTCTGAAAGCACGCTTACAATTGTTCAGTATCAGCACGGAGGTAGAGCAGGTGTTCTTTTTTACCCGAGGCCACAGTGTACTCCTCATACCCATCCTCCCCCTACAAAATTTTTGGGGAGTGATGGACCTGTAGTCGAAATCTAATGATTGCTGCCATTTGAACTGCCCTTTAGGCGTGGAATGCGTCTGCTGCTCTTGCCCATACCGAGCCAATATAATCATTACCGTTCAGGAGACATTGCCGAAAAAGTAACGTATTTTCGCCTCTTTACGCCCATTCGCAGCGACCGACGGATGCGGATGGCATGAGTTCCAATGCAGGGACGGCGGATGCATCGACGCATACTTACGGTGCGACGGTCGCAAGGATTGTGGTGACGGCTCCGAAGAGGAAGTTTGCAATTGTAAGTGGATTGACTATAGTAAAACAGAGTTTCCTGGTAGAAAGGATCCCGGAAGCGGAAGAAGGGAATAGCTTCACTTTTCTCCAAATTGAGTTCATCTTATCATTGTGCCTTACATCATCACACCAGATTATTTGACTCAATTCCTAGCAGTTTAGGAGAAAATCCACATTGGAAAAGGATATAATTAAACTTGACCCCTTTTTACGCTCCAAATTTAGCGGAAAATGGAAACGAGTCAACCGAAGCCCACATGTCTCCGTTTAAAATAATTTCAATTGGAGATAACTGAACTGGTATTTTTATGAATCCAGTGTAAAAAGAATCAAGTCAACATAAAGCCCCTTCATTTGAAAAACTAAAATGGAAAAAAGAGCTAAGTCACAACAAAATACATCAGAGTAACAAGCACTTTATGCTGACTATATTTCCAATTGAGTTGCCTCTAAACTCCACTCCGTTTAGGAAATACACGTTGAGATGTCTCTGTTTTCCATTTCAACGGAAAGTGATAAGTCACAGAAACCGTCTAAAAGAGTGATCTGACACTTTTCATGTTTTTCACAAATATAACTTTTGCTTTTTGAACTTGTTATCTTCTACAACAATCATTTGTTTTTAGTTTTCCCTGCTCTGCAAACTGAAGTGTGTACATAGTACACTCTTATTAGAGCATAGTTCCAAGTACACTCTTATTTACAGCATACTTGCTAGGCACACACTAAAATAGAGTGTACATTGCATGTACACGCTAAATAAGAGTGTACCTGGCAAGTACACTTAAACTGGCCCATGCTTTTAGATAGGACTTATCGAGTGTATTTTAGCGTGTACATGGAAGGTACACACTTATTTGGCGTGTACTTGCCAGGCACACTCTTTTTTAGCGTGTGCCTAGCAAGTATGCTGTAAATAAGAGTGTACTTGGAAGTATGCTCTAATAAGAGTGTACTATGTACACACTTCAGTTTGCAGAGTGCTTACAGTGTTTTGTTTCTCCTGAAAAATTGCTAAAATGGAGTTATCCCCTTCTTCCGCTTCCTGGATCAATTATACACTGTTGTTTGTCTACACCAAATTACTGATTACGTTTTATTCTGCATAGCTTTGCACGGAATTAAGCATACGTTTTGAAATGCAGGAATTTGTGCGTAGCCAAGAATGGAAATCTACACAACAAACTAAGTGCACTTACATACGCATGCTTGACGCATGGAGTTCTACGGTGTCAAGCATGCATTTGTAAGTGTGTACTCAGTAGACAGTTAGGCAGCACCTTGTGCGTTGTTGCGCATTAGGGTGCGTCGATAGCACGACTTTTCAGATGCAGCTTTTGGGTAGCACTCAAAAGTTTCGTTTTTTTGTGCTGATTCCATAAATGACCGCGGTTTTGCGAAAGGACAAAGCCTTCATGACCCTACCGGGCGTTTTATGTCAAAAAGCGGAGTTTTTGTATTTTTTCTTGTTTTTCGGTTCCGGATTTCATCCCAAACTGTCGGGGCGGCTGTTGCACGGTCGGATGGCCACCGCCCACACTAAATACAAGTTTTGCAGCTTGGCAGGACCACCGGACACCTCACGTGTGTGTCCCAAACCTCAATTTTCACCCTTTTTTTACTACAATTTTTCATTTTTTTTCTCTTTTTTCAGCTTTTATCGAGGATTGTACCGACCCAGTCGGTCTATACCATGACCACAGGTTGTATAAAACAGTGTAGGGGTACATAGAACGCAGGCAGCCCCCGGACCGGGGCTGTGTAGGGAGGGGGAGGAGGGAGGGAGGGGAGGCGGAGAAAACAAATGCCCAAAATCGGCCCAAATCAGCTGTTTTGCCCTGTTTAGCCTGTTGGTAAATACTGTATTGCGGTGCAGCTAGCTCGGTAAGTGTTTCTTCCCCTTCGGAGCGCCCCCAGCGGCAGTGGTGGGGACTGGCGCGGGGCACCGCGAGACTGTGCCGCCGCCGCTGGCGGACGAAGGACTATGTGGGTGGGTCCGAACGGAAAAAGTGGAAAAAATATTTGTGCGGACATAACTGAGCTTCTTTAATATGTAGTTATGTTGATTGGTGTATGTGATTTTAATTTGGAATAGACCGCCTGAATATGTTTACAGATGTTTAAGCCGATGAGGTGGTTTTCACATGTACATGAGACTATTCATACTTTGTCACACACGTAACAAGTCGCTCCCTTCTTAGGCTCACTGCTTGCCTCTGTTGGAACCAGACCATTTCTGGAGCGCATGTGCCTGTACAAGGTTTTCTTGTGTTCATATGTAGCTGGACACCGGAGGCCAGACAAGAAATCTTTTTAAAGAGAAATGATCAAAGTAGTCTAAGGCAGCCAGCGTTGTTACTCACAGTGAACATGCTTCCTTTGAGTACATCTTCACAGGTTGACAGACAGAACAGAAATGACCGATAATCACGCGCTTTTCCCTAACACTTGTTTTAGTTCGCTCCTTTTTCAAGCGGTGTTTTCCCTTCCCCGGGCCAGTTTGAAATTTCGCGTCTCGCGGTGCCCCGCGCCAGTCCCCACCACTGCCGCTGGGGGCGCTCCGATCGGCGGGGCCGCGGCATCTTCCTGCGCGTATCCACTCGTAGCGGACGCGCTCGTGGTGAGTCCTGGGTAGGCAAGGGGAAGAACCACTTGCCAAGCTAGCTGCACCGCAATACAGTATTTACCAACAGGCAAAACAGCTGATTTGGGCCGATTTTGGGCATTTGTTTTCTCCGCCTCCCCTCCCTCCCTCCTCCCCCTCCCTACACAGCCCCGGTCCGGGGGCTGCCTTGCGTTCTATGTACCCCTACACTGTTTTATACAACCTGTGGTCATGGTATAGACCGACTGGGTCGGTACAATCCTCGATAAAAGCTGAAAAAATAGAAAAAAATGAAAAATTGTAGTAAAAAAAAGGGTGAAAATTGAGGTTTGGGACACACACGTGAGGTGTCCGGTGTTCCTGCCAAGCTGCAAAACTTGTATTTAGTGTAGGCGGTGGCCATCCGACCGTGCAACAGCCGGCCCAACAGTTTGGGATGAAATCCGGAACCAAAAAACAAGAAAAAATTCCAATGCTTACGCATTGCACGGTGTTCCGGTTGTGGAAATCATTTTGAAATCTGTCATTTAAACGTTAGTTACGTTAATTTTACCGTTATTTACGTAACTTTGAATTCTACCGGTATTTTTACATCCTCAAAAGTGATTCAGTTAACACAATGACCATCTCAGTCAATCTCACGATCTCGCGATTTACAGTGCTCATGTTCGTCAAACGAAAGTCATCCGCGTTCCGAAAACACCCCTCCCGAGTTTAAAAAGTTTGTCAAACCAACCGTCGTGCTGCTTACAGAATTGAGGAAAACATGAGAATAGAACCGCAGCCTTTAAAAGCAAGCCAAACAATCCAACCTCAGCAACAATGGAGGGGCAGTTTCAATGCGCGACTACTCGTTTTTTCAGCGTCACGATTTTCGACAGGGCGCAGACGCTGAGAAAATTGATGCCAACCCCCGAAAATTAATTCATCGCGTCTTTTCTGTTACGAACTAATGACTAATGACAGACTTCAAAGATGTTTTAATGTCGGGTCACCGTGCAATGAGTGAGCATTGGCATTTTCGAATTTTACGGCGTTTTCATTTCTTTTTATCAGCGACTTAAAATTTCGACAGTTGGTACGATGGCACCGTGTCGTTGTCATGGAGATTTTTTCTTCATGTTTTACCCATTTTCTCAGAAGACAGACGATTTCTTGTCACTTTGATGAGGCAGGAGGTTTAGTTTTGAGGAGTGGCACATTTTTCCTTCGAAACGTTTCTGGAAAATGTAAACGGATAAGGGTGCTTGATTGTTGCAAATTTATGTTTTAGTCGTTTACGGAAAATTTCCACGATAAATTTTTTAGATTTTCTGGACTTTTTATTGTATTATGAATAGGATTAATATGGCGGGAGCGAAATGTCCATTCTGGGGGGTCCGTAGAAGAAGAATTCTGAGCCGTCCCGAGCAATAGGGGTCCTCCTTCGTCGGAACCCCTAAAAATACAAAAACTCCGCTTTTGGACATAACGCCCGGTAGGGTCATGAAGGCTTTGTCCTATCGCAAAACCGCGGTCATTTATGGAATCAGCACAAAAAAACGAAACTTTTGAGTGCTACCTAAAAGCTGCATCTGAAAAGTCGTGCATATCGACGCACCCTATTGCGCATGAATCCATGTACTTCACGCGTAGTATGCTCAATTTCGTTCAAGGCTACACTCTCATTCGAGGAACGTGACATCACGTTGGAACATTTTGTCACGTTCGTTTGAGCATTGTGTCACAGCATTGGTTCGTTTGGGTATAAATTGCCAAAAATTCAGCTTGTTCACATCCAAACGAACCTGACGTATTGCTCAAACGAACGTGTCATTTTGTCACGTTCGTTTGAACGTGATGTCATGTTCCTAAAACATGAGTGTACGCACGAAAAAAAAAGTAGTAATATAGTACGTAGAAAGATAGAAAATCAATTATGGGTCTGTTTTTTTTTAATCCATATTTAGGCCATTAATTTTGAATGAGTAGCCAAAGTAGCTTCAAGGCGTTAATATATGGTCCCTTGATAACGTTTTGCAGCGTAGCGGCCCCGTCTATCGTCTTCATTTCCTGAGCTACGGATGTTTTTAACCAGGCTGTTTTAGCCCATAATTGATTTTTGGAACCAACTGTGGGTCAGTATTTTTTGAGGCCCGTGCACCAAGCCTTGTACAAATTTGGCCAAACTTAGGTTGCCTTATATTCCTTCATCTATTATACACCAGAATCAGGAAGGGCGTCCCCCTTCATTCCATAATTCCATTATAAGAAAACATTTGAAAAACATCTCTCTTTTTGCCTTTTTTCTTGGGCTCGGATAGGTGCAATTTACCTTTTAATTTTGAAGGTCTTTCTTTGCTACCCGCTAAGTGCCGTTGTGGTCGTCGCTCACATTCTCAGACTCGTATTGACTTTTTATCTTTTGCCATAAAGGTTTTTGTGCAAACGTAATATGTACTATTTTCTCTTTGGCTATGCACTATTTTGTTCATTGTATAATGTTTATAGTCCATTAAACCGGACTTAACGTCATTTGCAATGTACTTTTCAATTTCTACATGATCTATTGACAATTATATCCTTAAAACGATCAAAATTGAGCATAGTTAAGGAGAAAATAGTACATTTTTTGTTTGCTCAATAACAGAAAAAGTAGCGATTTACATCGGCAACTTTGGCCCGTCCCGTACAGTAAGATACGTACGAATTTAGCCTATGTTTGACCCTGACGGGAATTAAACCTGAGTCTGGGGTTAAAATAAATGTCGTTTTCGTCATCAGCACCCTCAAAAACGTCAGAAACAATGCAAAAACTCGAATAAAAAGAATGTTCAAAAAATACCCCGCTGGGATTTGGACCCGGGTCCAAACTTCTCCGATTCTCTCGAAACTGGCACCATTGGTTTTTTCTCGTCGCCCCGATTCCAAAAATACCCCTACATGCCCTGCTAGCTGTAACCGTTGCCGAGATCCTCCTCGACCGCATGTAGACCATGATGCACCTGCAGCAGCGTCCCCGGGGCTCGGATCGGATTTGCTGCCACCGGGCGGTTCTTAGGGTCACACAAGGAGGCTGCATACCAAATTTGGTCAAGATCGGACGACGGGAAGTCCTCGGACGGACGAACGGACGGACGAACGGACGGACGCACAGCAGGGATCATACTATATGCCCGTCCCTCCGTCATTTTTTTACAAAAAAATGAACGGGACGGGCCAAAAACCGCTATAAGCAAGAGAGAAAAAAGTACATATAGGTCTGAGCGTGCAGACATCCGCGCTTGTTCAGGTTCAGATGACAACGAAAAGTTGAGGGAAGACCCATAACGAAATTGAAACCGATTCGCTCATTCGTAGGCTTGTAGCGGCCTGTCAAAAAATGGCCCATAACTTATCCGTGACCTCAAATTGATTTTCTACCTGCCACCGTTGGCCAACTCTAATTAGCGTGAACCTGTCACACACTCAAGTTTCTAGAGTTGATCTAAGAAGATTGGTACTCGAGGTGTTCACATACCTCACAAAATAGAATTCTTGAACCACACTGCCAATTTAAGTGTTCTAAAAGGTTCACGTTGCCAATGGATCACGACCGTCCATGCCAGACAGTTGGTCTATAGACCAACACTGTCAAAAGTAAATTCGAATCGACTAAACCTTCGTCGATTTGACTAAAATATTTCGTAATTTCAGGGGGTGCCTAAAGTCGAATCGATGTGGTCAGTTTCGTCTGCGCTTTCACTGCAGATTCCACGAAATTATGGTCATTTTGACGAAATTTTCGTCAATTTTTTACAAAGAAATTTCACCCTGTTACGTCACAGGCCTGCAACGTCATCTCCTCCGGCGGTTTGATGACGTTCCCTTAGTTTTAGTCGATTCGATGAAGCAGTCGCTGTATTGACATTACGAAGGCCAGGGTAGCACCTGATTGGCTGTACTGAAACACGTGACGGCTCTTTTGATGGTAAACATGCAGAGATTAGTTTTTCATAACAACAGCCTCTGGCAACGAAACGCGCGACGCCGTTTCGCTGCTTTGCTTCGAAGCATAAAATATACGCCATAATGGATCAAACTATGATATTGGGATGGTGACGTAAAGTTTTAAGATCGTGCACTTTCTTTTCCCAACGGATATTTCAACGCTGGGTTTAGACTACCTGCCTAGGATTCGCTGCCTATGTTGTTACTGGCATACAACATCAAGTGGGTTATATTTCAATAGGGTATTTCCGAGCAGCCCTGGCCCGGAAGAAGAAGAACAAAACGGAAGTTAGAAACGACAGTTTCTATGAGAAATATACGCTGAAGATGAGCATCCGCGGCGTATATTTCTCACAAAAACTGCCATTTTTAACTTCCGCTTCAGTTTTCTTCTTCCGGGCCAGGGCTGCTCCGAAATACCCTATTAACAGGTCACAATTTCTGCTCTAAACTTTCCACTCCTTGTGTGAAAGAAAGTCGGCTAACACAGTTCACTTGGTCCAGAAATGGAGGGATTTCGTGGGATTTCGAGCAACATAACCTCCTTCTTCAAAGGTACTGTTTGAGTATATTTTATTGTTGTGGCTGACTATCCCTCATGCGCGTGGTGAAAGACATCAAGAAGAAATGTGTGAACTGTCAATTGGCAGTGCCCGTCCACTTCTAAATGCTACAGTTTATCTTCTTTATCATGGGGAAATGTGACGTAGGCTGAGCCGGCGTCACAGTGTAACCAGAATCCATTCTTATCTCAGCGATCCTTCATCTTTTCGATACAGTAGCTGTTGATTGAAAATTTCCGTTTAAATCTACATTATACTAGGAAAACCGTAAGTCCATATTGATTGATTTGCGGTTTATTGGAAAAGGTCTATGATGTCACAGGCAGGCCACACGTCACAGTATGAGAAATTGGCCTGGGTTACTAAATCTTCGTCAAATCGACTAAACTTTGGTATTAGTTTACTTTTGGGACAGTGAAGCTGTGGTCCATATTTGATGGATAGCGTAGGGCAGAGTGAATGACCTGGAAGCGTGGACCACAGTTTGGTAAACGTTTCTTACGCTGAATTTGGGAAATAATCTTTGGGTTCACAGTTTGAAGCTTGCGCAGGTGTTCCTTTCTTACCAACTAACTCCTTACTCCTTAGTAATTGCGAAGAAGTTCCTTTGCAAGCTTCCAATGCATCTAAATCCTTTGCAATGCCCAGCGGGTGGCGATAGAGCTGCGCCTGCTGACCGTCTCTCTGTGCTCAGCTCCACCTACGGTGACCCTGCCCGTCATGGGCACGACCACGGCCCGCGTGCAGTGCTCGGAGGAACACGGCAGCATTATGCTGCACCTTTGCAGCGGCGAGCGCTGCAGCATTGTTTGGCTGCGGGGTGAGAGCGGTGACGGGGCGCTGTGGTACGTCACGCGCGAACAATGTCACGGATTTATTACCGGTCTTCATGGCTGGGGCTGCAGCGACAGCAAGGTAAGTGCCATTCACTGAAAAATAGTTTTCGTAATTTTACAACAAATTAATTAGTAAGTACTTTGAAAACTTAACGAATGCTTCGTAAAATGATAACGACAATACAATCGTGAATTAAAATTTCCGAACCTTCCGTAATGTTTAGCAGATGATACCTTCACACTTGAAACACACTTAAAACTACTATACACATGAAGGTGTCAGCGTGCTTTTACATTCGAGTCCAGAAACCAAGCGCGTATCCTAACAATATAATAGGGGCGGGCTGGTGTGTCTGGCTGGCGGTGACGCGCAGCCTGCGCGGAATTCGACAATGGCACCCCCTCCTCGGTGCATTCCATGACAGAATAACAGGCCTTGAGACAAAGGTTGTCAGAATCGGCCCAAATTTTTTTGGTGATTCTTCCTTACTAGTAGACACTAAAAACTAACTTTTAGATTTTTTGAAATTTTTTTGTAGTTTTGGTCAACCATTTTAACCAAATTTTTACGACAAAAAATAAACAAGGTAGGTGTACGCCAGACTGTGTCTTGTCGTAACAGGCTTCGCGATGCTGCGCCAGTTTCGGCAATCCACGCCTGGCGTATACACCTACCTTGGCCTGCGGCGCTAACCTGCCTTCGGCAGACTGCCTTCCTTGGCAGACCGTGGAAATGGGCGTAATCCCCTCAAAAAGAGCATGTGCTCATCAAAATCTACACTCATGGGGCTAAACTTTCGGTCGGAGGTCTGAATGGGTTCTATTTTCGTCATCAGCAGCCTCAAAAACATTTCGAACGACATTGAACTTGACAAAAAGTTGAAAGTTCCAAAAAAGTTGTCTTTTTCCTGCCATTTTTAAAGTGTTTTTTGGCTAATATGACCGAATGGATTGAGATAGAAAGCTGAATTTTGGTGTGTGGCGAGCCAAGGATATGCCCAATGACCCTGCAAAATCTCAGCAGAATCGGCCGAGCCGTTTAGGAGGAGTAGTGCGGACACACAGACACACACACACACACAGACAGACAGACAGACATGAAAAACTTTTCAACCCCACTGGAGTAACAGGCTTCGCTATCGCTCAGCCAAAAAATGCAGATATCAAAAAAGACGTCATCATGGATTTAGGCTGAAATTTTTTTTGTAGCTTCCCCTTTAGTGTACTATGCGTGACAAAAGTAAGCGACCCCTCCGGCCGGGCCTGGCGATACCCCGCGCCCAGGCCGCTGCCGAGACAGGCGGACTCCTCGGCAGATGGACCGACGCAGGGCTGCGCTGTTGTCAAACTATCACTGCAGGTGCCGTGAGGGGGAGGGGGGCAGCATGTGCCAAAGTTCAGAGGCAGAGGACCCGGCCTGTGGCCTGGGAAGTCCGATGCGCAGGCAACTGGACTTGATCGGGAATCTCGGTTCAAATAGTCGCAGAACAAAATTTCAAGATATCACTGGACTCGCAGCTTCGCAAGGAACCCATTTCCACTCAATTCGAAATCCAAAAATTAGTTGTTTGAAAATTTTTATTTTGAGTCAAGGGGCAATAAATCAGCTTGTCAGCACCCTCACGCCGGTGCAGCCAGGCAGTGAATGAGACCTGCGACACAATAGCCTGCAGGCAACCCGGCTAATTCTAGAATGCAAATTTTCTAGGGCGTTATTTTGACATGTTGGGAATGTTGGCCACTGTATTGAGGACTCAAGTTCCGACTTATACATGTAAAAATTAATTTTCTAAGATCATTTTGATGAAGTAAGAAAAAGTTTACTAGATACCTTACAATGAAATAATCAGCTCAGATTGAGACGCATTTTGGTAGTGGTGTCAAAAATAGTCATATTTGCATGAAATTGACTTGTAAAAATAGCACCCGGCCAGCAGCAGGAGCAGAACCGCTCGGCCGCTCTGTGGCATCCAGACCGGCGGCTGGCCCAGGGTGTCATTCACTCGTCGGGGGGTAATAAAGCTATTGTGCACCTGCAGTGATAGTTTGACAACAGCGCAGCCCTGCGTCGGTCCATCTGCCGAGGAGTCCGCCTGTCTCGGCAGCGGCCTGGGCGCGGGGTATCGCCAGGCCCGGCCGGAGGGGTCGCTTACTTTTGTCACGCATAGTACTAAGAGCCTGCAGTCCCCCATTGAGGGCCCCATGTACAGGAATGGAGAAAAAAAATCAGGAATGTTGAAATTTGGGGCGTATTTTCACTGTTTTGGGCTAAATTGACACTCTGAGGGTTCCGTCTCTTGTTTGACCCTAACGCTTGGGTCCCACAATTGAAGAAGCAATCGATTACTTTCAAAACTCTCATTAGGCAACATCTCAGGCCTCTCCTCTCTTGTTTCAGAATTTTTGAAGCTGGCCATGAAATAAACTAATGGAGTATTTACCTCAATCCCTTTGTCTCTGTTATACGCAACCAAAAGGATTACTTGCTCTGTGTACGCTACAGAGAAGATTTTGTCTTCACAAAGAAGATTTTGACTTGGAAAATTCTGAAACAAGAGAGGACAGGCCTGAGATGTTGCCTAATGAGAGTTTTGAAAGTAATCGATTGCTTCTTCAATTGTGGGACCCAAGCATTAAGGTCAAACAAGAGACGGAACCCTCAGAGTGTCAATTTAGCCCAAAACAGTGAAAATACGCCCCAAATTTCAACATTCCTGATTTTTTTTCTCCATTCCTGTACATGGGGCCCTCAATGGGGGATTGCAGGCTCTTAGTACACTAATAGGGGAAGCTACAAAAAAATTTTCAGCCAAATCCATGATGACGTCTTTTTTGATATCTGCATTTTTTTATTTTTTGTCGTAAAAATTTGGTTAAAATGGTTGACCAAAACTACAAAAAAATTTCAAAAAATCTAAAAATTAGTTTTTAGTGTCTACTAGTAAGGAAGAATCACCAAAAAAAATTTGGGCCGATTCTGACAACCTTTGTCTCAAGGCCTGTTATTCTGTCATGGGACCAGCGGGTGGAAACTCCCTAGGCGGCGGGGCTGGGACCGGGTCGGGATCGGTCCGCTCGGGGCGCCACGGCCAGCAGACGAACTTGTCGCCCCGCATCGGTACCTTATTTTAAAGGAATGTACCCTAAATCGAAACATTTGGAGTCATATTCGGGTATCAAAATCAAGGTTATTGTCTAAAGAATGCATCTGAAGCATAGCTTTCTCTTTATAATCGAAATAGAAATAAGGGAGGTGATGAAAATGCGATGGCTCGGTCGCGGGAAACGCTACCACCAGATTTTGTAACACTTAGTTTTCAATGTTAGAGCCCTCGGAGGCCATACATGTAAGCGAGCCGATTTTTCCTTACAAAATTTCGCTCGGCGTAGGATACATTTCCTTTTGATTGGACTCACCTTGCAAGAAATATCCCACATAATAGTTGATGCGACGGAATGGCGTCTGCTTGTACTTCTCACTTCAACTCGATAAATAGAATACAAACCACTCGAATCAAAGCTGCATATCTGGCCTAATGCACGGCAAATTTAATGTAGATTCATTTTGCACACGCGGCTTTGGGAAATAAGGTCGGATTTCTTTACATTAAGTGGATTAAAAACACCAGACGCAAAGAGGCTGAAATGACCACTTTTTCGGTCTCTACTAATGTGAGAAATCCGACCCGATTAGACACACGCGAGTTCTTGAGAACAAATCTTCAAACATGCCGTCGTGCATTTTGTTTAAAGGTTTTTGCACGAAACTAACCTCAAATTATACAATATGAATTCTAAAATACTGCAGCGTCAAACACCGTTGAAAGCGTCATCGGCCCGTGTCGTCTGGATCGGAGGACGGGACAGACTATGGCAAATTCACCGCTCAGCACAGGTTTGTTTGCTTTTCACAGTTCCACGATTGGGCATTGCATTTGGTTGATTTTGAGAGCATGGATTCTCCTCAGGAGGTTAGTGTGGAAGTCAATGAAAGCAACACACGCTACCCGAGCAGCCAACATGTCGGCAGGTGCAACTGTCACAAAATTGAAACAAAACTGTGCCGAGCGGTGAATTTGCCATAGTCTGTCCCGTCCTCCGGTCCACGACACGGGCCGATGACGCTTTCAACGGTGTTTGACGCTGCAGTATTTTAGAATTCATATTGTATAATTTGAGGTTAGTTTCGTGCAAAAACCTTTAAACAAATGCACGACGGCATGTTTGTTTGAAGATTTGTTCTCAAGAACTCGCGTGTGTCTAAACGGGTCGGATTTCTCACATTCGTAGAGACCGTAAAAGTGGTCATCAGCCTCTTTGCGTCTGGTGTTTTTAATCCACTTAATGTAAAGAAATCCGACCTTATTTCCCAAAGCCGCGTGTGCAAAATGAATCTACATTAAATTTGCCGTGCATTAGGCCAGATATGCAGCTTTGATTCGAGTGGTTTGTATTCTATTTATCGAGTTGAAGTGAGAAGTACAAGCAGACGCCATTCCGTCGCATCAACTATTATGTGGGATATTTCTTGCAAGGTGAGTCCAATCAAAAGGAAATGTATCCTACGCCGAGCGAAATTTTGTAAGGAAAAATCGGCTCGCTTACATGTATGGCCTCCGAGGGCTCTAACATTGAAAACTAAGTGTTACAAAATCTGGTGGTAGCGTTTCCCGCGACCGAGCCATCGCATTTTCATCACCTCCCTTATTTCTATTTCGATTATAAAGAGAAAGCTATGCTTCAGATGCATTCTTTAGACAATAACCTTGATTTTGATACCCGAATATGACTCCAAATGTTTCGATTTAGGGTACATTCCTTTAAAATAAGGTACCGATGCGGGGCGACAAGTTCGTCTGCTGGCCGTGGCGCCCCGAGCGGACCGATCCCGACCCGGTCCCAGCCCCGCCTAGGGAGTTTCCACCCGCTGGGCGGACGCCGCGATGCCGGCGAGCATTTCGCTCACACGGAATCCGCGAACGGTAGTTTCAAACAATTTCGATGGCGAGGCTATAAAAAATTTAGAAAATACAACTCACCTGAGCGATGTTTTCAGCCATTTTCTTGACGGCACATCACATAATGGGACAGATGTATGTAAACTGCGAGCGAGGACGGTATTCCCCTGCTAACGGACGCACCGCCTGGTAGATGCGCGCGAGGGCGAAGGCGAGAGGCGAAATATGGCATCGTGGCGAGTGGCGTGGTGGGGGGTGTAAAGTGCTATGGGTTTGGCAAACTCGCCCTCTTTTAAAATTGAAATCGCAGACTAATTGCGTCCAAGTGTAGTTAAAGTGACAAGTGGGGCATGATTGGCTGAGCGATAGCGAAGCCCGTTGAGGAGGAGTAGTGCACGCACACACGCATACATTAAATGTTTTTTAACCCCACTGGAGTAACGGGCTTCGCTATCGCTCAGCCAATAAGAATGACCCTTCCACAGTTAACTTAAGTGACATGTGCAAAGAGTAATTCATGAAAATCTGAAGTATTGGTGTACTGTTGTTATTTGAAGTTAAAAGTATTACAGTAAAATTGTAGATGTAACCTCCCGACACAGGATCACGGAGCAATTGGCCACTTCTTCACCCCGAGCGAGATGTTGCTGGAGGTGCAGCGCCGACCCGGAGAGCTAGCTGTGTGGCGAAAGGGGCGGCCGGACGCCGTGGCAGTGGTTCCCGTAGGAGAAAACTACGACACCCTCAAGGTTAGGCCTTTTTACTGGAGCTCTGACATGGCCGTGCAGTTCTCAGGTGAGTACCGGCACTGTGCCCTTCGTCTTTTTGACACTGTCTATGTTTTCGAACATCATTTTGCTCTATGAAATATTGAATTTTGGTACATCCTTTTGTTATTTCTTTTTGACTGGTGGCACAGATTGTTCCTGAAAAGTGTAACTTCCGTATTTATAGGGCCCGGTCCCATATTTTCTAGCCCAGTCCCTTTTCTGTTACTGTGTGGACCCATTGGAAAGGGGTCAGACGCGGAACTGTGGGTCCTTTCAAAGGTCTCCCAGCGAGCGGGTAGGGAAAAAATTTGATGATAAAACAGGGGATATTGTCAAACATACTTTGTGAGAATGAGCAAACGACACCCAGGGAACGATTTACTTGCATCGGTGCTCGATTTTGTCTCACCTGACTTTCGATGATATTTGATTTGAATAAAACATTTTATTCTCAAATTCCCTTGCAAAATGGAAAATATATCGGCACTATATAGACAAAATATATGTTCCTACATGTATTGGCTTCAAATGTTGAAAAGATAATTTAGCAAAATACTTTTCCGATTTAAAAATAAGTGGCAAATATATAAATTTCATACATTGCTCTAGGCAATATAGTGTGAATACACCATGGAGTCTGACGACTCGCAGACTTCCTTTGCTATTTTAAAAGAATGCAATCTTCGCCTAGAGAGGACATTACATGGTGGACCTACCTTGGTTGCGTGGGAGAACTTTTTGCGCTGCGCCGAAATGAGACGTTTAAAATTTCTGAACTGTTCCAGTTAACTTGTTAATCAGGATTTCTCGAAATTTGTCGGAGACTTAAACGCATAGAAAAGAACCTTACCCCTGATCAATATATGGCGTCAATATATTTTACAAGATAGTCAATCGTCTAGAGAAACATAGCCGCCTCTCAACATTAAGTGCCAAGGTTTTAAGAAAAGTTACTTGAAAAGTCTGCCCTCTTAACCCTGCCCCATCACACGACAGGCACCGTGTCAGATATTGAAACATAATATTGCTCCCGAGTATGTGTCGATAAAAACCTGGAACTCTTCAATTCGAAGTCCCTGCAAGCGCTTGTGGTAATGCGGAGCCGGTGCTGACCAAGGAAGGAAATGCAACCTCCGTGGAAACGTTCCCGTGGCACATTGCGATTTACGTGGAACGCTCCGGCCGCAAGTCATACACATGTGGGGGCAGCCTTGTGGCACCCTGCTTCGTCGTGACCGGTGAGTTTCAGAAGCTTCACTGTAAGAATTATGTTGTGAATTTACGACGGATTATTCGGGTCGGCTCACTTAATTCACGCGCGTTTGATCAAAACTTGCTTTTTTATTTAAAATTAAATGTTATTAATTTGTGAAAAGAATTGCATTTAAATGTGAATTAATCACAATTAATGTAAATTAATCACAATAAATGTAAATTAATCACAATAAATGTAAATTAATCACAATTAATGTAAAATAATCGAAATTAACTCACGAGTCTACTGATGGTGCCCGGCGCAAGTTAGATGGACTGAAGCATGCATTCGCTGTGCCGGAACAGCGGCGTGACTCGGGGCAGGAAGGACTGCACAGGCGCAGGGTTCCATGGGTCAAGGGTGGGGGTACGCAGCGCTGCGGCGGATAGTGGTTGCAACTGGAGACTCTCTCTGAGAGGTCTCTGGATGGATGAGGTGTAGCGCGTCCGGCCCACACGCTGCAGGCGCGGGTTCGAATCCCGCACGCATTTTATTTTTTTGTTGCTTCAGGCGGTATCTGCCGCAATTAGCGTAAGATCTGTCGCAAATAGAGTAAGATCTGTCCCGAATAGAGTAAGATCCGTCGCGAGTAGCGTAAGATCTGTCGCGAATAGAGGAAGATCTGTCGTGAGTTAGAGAAAGATCTGTCGCGAGCCCGTTAGGTTCGCGAGTTAGAGAAAGATCTGTCGCGAGCCCGTTAGGTTCGCGAATTAGAGAAAGATCTGTCACGAGTTAGAGAAAGATTCTGTCGCGAGTTAGAGAAAGATCTGTCGCGAGCCCGTTAGGTTAGGTTAGGATGGGTTGGACATAGCAGGCTCTCTAAGTTGGACCCTGCGCCTGTGCAGTCCTTCCTGCCCGGAGTCGCGTCGCAGCGAATGCATGCTTCAGTCCATCTAACTTGCGCCGGGCACCATCAGTAGACTCGTGAGTTCATTCTATCCCAATTTTGCTTTATAATTTAATAAAATTGTATTAATTTCGATTATTTTACATTAATTGGGGGATGGCTCAGTTCACCTCCTGAAAATTTGTCGACAATATCATATTAAATATCTATTAATAGTAAAACCTCTATATCTGTGTTGTGGAGGGGGTGATGTGGGGTGGTGGGGGCTCGAAGGTCGTACGCGGATATTAATTATTTAAACGATTAATATATTTTATTAATAATTATTTAAGATATTTATTAGAGATTTCTGTAGCCGAGTAACCGAGTGCCTGTACTCGTTTCCGACTCCTGGCCGAAGAAGCGGCGAGGCTACGCTGGCGATGGTATGAGAAATTCACCAGTGGCGGTAAGACTACGCGGGTGACGATATGAGAAATTCACTAGTCAGCGCCCCGGGCGAGCTTGTGGTGAGTGGCCGGCGCGGGCTTTTTGAATTCACGCCTTACGATAAACATAAAATCGGCCCCACTGCAGCACTACCATGTCGAAATCGTGCATCCTTCGTTGCGTCCCCTGCACCACACTCACCGTGCAGAGGCGAATCCAGAGGGGAAGCACGATGATGTGTCAAAAGTTCCCTGCCTACAGGGGAACATGCGATTTTTTTCTTCACCGCTGAGAACCTCGAACAAAAGCAAGTGCGATCTGCCGGTGGGCCCCCTCAACATACCTCTAATAGCGATGCCTCTGAGCGATGCCGAGAGTACGAGTTCAAATGCAATACATCCATGTTGTAGGGCAGACTTTTGTGCTTCTTTTCGGTAAAGTGAACCCTGTGCGATCATTATGAGCGAGTTAGTGCGACTTGAAGGTTGGCCCCGGGGTACAAAATATGCCCCCCGCCGGGTCACGGCGCTCAAGTCTCGGCGCTCTATCTGGGCCCAAATTTTGGGCCCACGGGGATAAATTTAGATACCATCTGTTCGGAAAAAAATAGGCCAAAAAACGCATAGAGAAGCACTTTTTACCGAATCTTGACAAGAAAAGGGGAAAAGGGGACTAAAAGTGGATATGACTTTCCAGAAAATAAAAAATTCCCTTTAGTGAAAAATTTTTCCAGTGCGTACTGATATAAAACAAAATCCGACTAATGCAGATTGTAGCTCTATGCTGACGATTAATTTGAGCCGTGGGGCGACTCTGTCGGACGAACCGTTTGGCCGGTAGAGGCTGATAACCACTTGGGCCCCAAAATCCAAAATGGCGGACTTTGAACGCCGTTTCCGGGAGAATGCATGATGGGAATTTTTGGGGAAATTTTTCAGGATTTGATGCTTAGGGTGGTACTATCGATCCCCAAAGCGGCGCGTTTTTGCTAATTTTTTTAGGGTCAAAATCTAATCTAACTGGGCCCCCAGAAACTCGAGCCGCTTGTTTTAGGTAGTCTGAGGAATGATTTCCCGTCCCGCTCAGGACGCGCCCAAACCTGATAGAAAAAGTACAGAAATTACACGGAACATGTCTGGTAAATTTTTTTACCTGGACCGTCCGTACCTTGCCAACCACGGAGGTTCTGTACAGTTTTCTGTACCTGTTTACATGAGTCCCATGGGGACCACAGAGAACCTACAAAAGGGTCCGTCCCTTTTCCCGTACCCGTCTGTCCCCCATTTTTCCGTACTTTTTCCGTCCCAAAACCCAGGGAAATTTTTTGCAGTGCAGTTTGGATTCCGAGATGGGAAAAAAATTAAAGGTTATAAAATACCCAAAAGTTTTTTTTTGGCTTTGAGTGCTTTTTTATCAACGATGAACTGCTTGCAGATTCTGCATGCAGACTCAGATTTGCCACTAAATTTTACTTCGGGTCCCAAATTTTGCATCAAAAAGAAGAAAATTTCCGGAGCATTTCAGTAAAGAAAGTGCAATTTAGTCAAAAACGTCTAAAGAAAAATAGCCAAAAACTTTGATTGCTCTCAGTTTCCATACCCACTGACCAGAGGGCTGAAATTTTGTAGGGGTGTGGACTGGCAAGTGCTATGAACCCGCGCACCCGATGACCAGGGCCCTGGTCGGCAGAAATTATCTTTTCAATGCGTGATCCCGCACAACGAAAAAGGGACATCGCGATGCGGGTCCCCAGGTGAGTTCCTCACCAGAGAGCTCTCCAGGCCCCCCCTCCCTTTCCACTTCTCCCCTCCCTGCATGTTGAAATGCCCCATGCGTGGTGAAGGCAGAATCAGTCTATGCAAAACCTGCTTCCCGTTCACGGCGTTGGAGGTGGCGGTGGCAACCCACGCAAAGGGGCCCAGCCCGGTCGCGAAGCAGGGGGTGTGCTCCCGCGTCCCCTTGCGCCTTTGGGCCCAAAGCCCGACACGACGGAAGACAATCACGCCCATGACGCGCTCCGCAACGAGGGGCACGTTCAATGGTCTGCACGGGCTGTGACCGTGCGGTGCGCCCCCCGCACGTCGGCGTGGCGTACGTACACAGACTGTCTGTGGGTGCGTCCAGCCCCAGTAGTGAGGCAACCCCGCGGAAAAACACTTTGGACTAAGGTGGCGGGGCACTGGGGGAGGCCGGCTCTGCCAACCAGAGCCAATGCCAGCAAAATCCCCACACCAGGGACAGTTCAGCCTGACATCGCTATTAGGTTTTGTTGTGGGCTCCCACCGGCAGATCGCACTTTTCTTTTGTTCGAGGCTCTCAGCGGTGAAGAAAAAAAATCGCATGTTGCCCCTTAGGCGGGAACTTTTGACACATCATCGTGCTCTCCCCCTTTGGGTTCGCCTCTGCACGGTGAGTGTGGTGCAGGGGACGCAACGAAGGATGCACGATTTTGACATGGTAGTGCTGCAGTGGGGCCGATTTTATGTTTATCGTAAGGGGGAATTCAAAAAGCCCGCGCCGGCCACTCACCACAAGCTCGCCCCGGGGGGCTGACTGGTGAATTTCTCATATCGTCACCCGCGTAGTCTCCCGCCACTGGGAAATTTTTCATACCATCGCCAGCGTAGCCTCGCCGCTTCTTCGGCCAGGAGTCGGAAACGAGTACAGGCACTCGGTTACTCGGCTAAGGAATCTCTAAAAATATCTTAAATAATTAATAAAAAAATATATTAATCGTTTAAATAATTAATATCCGCGTACGACCTTCGAGCCCCCACCACCCCACATCACCCCCTCCACAACACAGATATAGAGGTTTTACTATTAATAGATATTTAATATGATATTGTCGACACTTTTTCAGGAGGTGAACTGAGCCCATCTCATTAATTGTGATTAATTTACATTTATTGTGATTAATTTACATTAATTGTGATTAATTCACATTTAAATGCAATTCTTTTCACAAATTAATAACATTTAATTTTAAATAAAAAAGAAAGTTTTGATCAAACGCGCGTGAATTAAGTGAGCCCACCTCGGATTATTTTCCGAAGGTTTTTGGGAATTACCAAAAGTGCACTGTAAATGTTTCTTTCCTACAGGAAGTTTTGTGAAGGGGAGGTTCTGGTGAAAATCTTGCCATTTTCCAAATGGATCCTACAGTCATAATTTGTTTGGAATATAAAATTTTTCATTGGGGAGACTAAAATTTGACTTTTGAAGGCACATGCCAGGCTGTAAACCCAGTCGAAGAGTCTTTTTGATCCTATTTTGGCTGTATCTTAAAAAATCTCCTTGCGCATACTATTTTGTCGTAAAAGGTTGACCTCGACATTTTTCACTTCTTCGACTCATTTTCAAAAGATTCCGGCATGCATAGCTCAAAACTTCCATTATATTATTAATTATTAGTTTTTTAAGCTGAAAAGTCCCTAAAATTTGTCTATTTTGTACATTTTTGATCAATTTTAGTGAAATGCTTGGTTAGAAAGCTTGCGAATAAAAATGCAATTGACATTTTGAGATGGGCATGCCAGCATTTTTAAAAAATGAATCGAAGAAGTGAAAAATGTCTAAGCCAACCTTTTACGCCAAATTAGTATGCGCAAGAAGATTTTTAAAGTTATAGCCTAAATGAGAGTAAAAGGCTCTGCGACTGGATTCAGGGCATAGAATGTGCCTACCCAATGAAAAATTTTAATAAA